CAAAAAGCATTCCAACTCAAATTTTAGATAACCCATAGAAACCAGCTATTCCAGCTAAAGCATGTGAATTTATGATCTTTATGAAAAAAGCCACAAAAACAAACAAACAAACCAACAAACCCCTCAAAACAGGACAGATGGTTTATATGGTCAGAAAGATAAACAAGTTAAGCCAAAATTTTACCCAGATCTACGTTTTTTACAGCATCAAAACATTAATGCTGATATATTGCCCTAGTGGTTTTGCATCTGTGGAATAGCTATCATGAATTTTACCCCAGTAAGTTAATATGATGTCTAGAGCATCATATATTTTGCAGAGTGTTTGATATGTTAAGACAGGAAAATTAAAGAGGTCAATAAAGTAAATAAAACCTAGACTTCACTGCCAAAGAATTATAGCTCCCAGCTTTATTAAAGAGATACCAAGAAATAAAGTGAAATGTGTATTTGCATATACTCAAGCTGTCCAAACAATGATTAAAATGAGCTCAGGCCTCAAACCTTTCCCTTGGCGGTATGTTCTTCACATGACAGAAAAAGACACATTCCTAGAATTTGATACTAAAACTCTGTCCTGGAGAAAAGAAAAAAAAAAATCTTAACAGAGTATCGATACTGTTCTGTTCAATAGTAAGTCATACAACTACCAAGCTCTCATCTGAGAACACAGCATGGGAGCTAATGCAGACATGGATAAATATCAGTTTCCTCAAGAGCTAGACTGAGAGGCCTGGCAAAAATATTTACCCTATGCAATACGGGTGTGTGGACATGAACCTCATGTAGCAGAGCCTCTGAAAAACCATGCCCCCAACTGCATCTCTCTGCTGGAAATAGCCAGAAAAGTAAAATAGAAAATGAAAAATGAGACTATTGCAGCCAAATGACTGTTCAATTGACACAGGGGAAAAACTAAAATGGTTGCAGGCTGTTGAGTAAGAGCTGTTCAAGAAATTGGCATCCCAAGAGCAGGATTTGAATATCCCCTCAATAAGGTGCTATGATGGCTCATGTGTCCATCCTTGATCTGTGCAATACAGGCAGGAATACACAGCACCTCCCAAGCACTCAGGCAGAGACACCCTGAGTGTCTGTACTGAGTAGTGGCCTGAGCCTGTGAGGGCAGGAGAGGTGCCTTTTTCTTGTATTTGTATTTTGTATTTTGTATTTTGTATTTTGTATTTTGTATTTTGTATTGTTTATTGTGTATTGCGTATTGTGTATTTTGTATTTTGTATTTTGTATTTCATATTTGTAGCCTGAAAAAAAAGAGGCCAAGACATTAATCAGTGCTTGAGCTTTGAGGTGCACTCTGTGCTAATCTGTCTGGTTTACAAACTATGGTGTAGATATGTCTGCATTACATGATGTGACAATCAGAGAAGCCTGCAGACTATGTCATCTGAGACAGTGCTCTAGGAAGAGGATGTTTGGAAAAGCTAGGAAATAAAAACTTCTTTTAAAAAGCATTTTTTAAGAATTGTTCACTGAATGTAACCAAAGCAGCAAAGCCAGGAGAACTACACCACCTACAACTGACTTCTTATCTAGATCAGTCCAGAATTCAGGTGTATGGTAACTGAAAAAAAAATGAGCTCATCAGCTGGTTCAGATCCAAAGGGATATAAAGATACAGTTTTGAGGAAAGAATTAAAGAGAAACAAAGTATAAACAAAACCAGCCAAGGATTTAAAAGTGCTTCCATCTCAAAATACGTCCATCTTCCTTCTAAGACCCAGATCACAGGGGAGAAGCTTCCAGTTTTGGATACTGAATGTTGAAGATAGCATAAGCATTCAAATTATGTTGAATATAGAGGCAACCAACTTGAGGATATGTCAGGACAACCTGAAAACAACCTGAAAACAAGGCTGTCTCATTGCTTATTGAAAATAAGCAGCATCCCCTGTGCATTTTTCCACAGATGGAAACTGTCTTCTCATTATAAATGGCATATCTATTTGCACTGAGTTTATGCTCTGCATCTGGGATTTAATCATATTGCTTCATCCTACTGCCACAGTTATCAAATAGAAAGGTTGAACTGGAAGATAAACATGTTGTTCCTTTGAAGTTTACAGAATGTATTTGAAAAACAGCAAAAAAGTCAGGCCAGTCTGGAGCAATATCCCTCAAGGAGCATCTTGGTATAAACGTGCACATTCCTTGGTTCCTGTGGAGCAGCACCATGAAACTCTGCAGTAGTAAAAGTGGGATGAGAAGCATGCAAAGGCAAATAGCTGCAGTAGAGAGGCAGGAGAGCTCCCACAGCAGGGTGAAACTTTCAGTGCCAGAGAAAATCATGAACTTGAGGGAAGGCACAAAGGCAGCCGTGGAAGATAGTGCAACATAGGCTGTTGCACAGGTAACTCCGCCCAGGTAAAGCTCCACTGACTGCACCTGACATCACTTAAAGGTTGTTATCACTGAAAGATGACACCAAAGAGCAAAAGGAAGACTGATGGAAGCACAGACTAAAGAACCCTCTTTGTGTGCTGGTAAAGTGATACAAGAAAGGAGCCTGAAATGGTGAATGCTCTGTGCCAGGTGACATCCACGTGCTCCTGTCGCCAGCCACCGCCCTGCGGCAGAACCTGGCAGCTGGACAGCAGTGGGCAGCCCCTGCAGGGACAGCTGCTTTCCTCAGGTCATGCTCTGTGGGTTTGCACAGCCCTCTCCAGAGCAGGAACCTGAATGCAAGATGCCTTTTACAGCTCCAGGCCCTTTTGCAGTCCTCAATCTCTTGCTGTAGATGGTTGCTGAAGAACTGCTGAAATCTATCTGTGCTTAGGGTCTGCCAGACTGTCCTTCCAAATAAGATTTCACAGATAATATTGAATTAATTTAACCTATAGGCTCATATAAATTGGTAATATACATAATTACTTTTAAAAATTCATAATCCTTTTCCTAAGTGGTCAACACCAACTACTTATAAGGAAAATAGAGGAAATTTTTCAAATCCTTGCCAGTTAAGTCATAAAATACATGGCTTAATATCTCTTTCTAAATGTATTGTCACCTATCTCAGATGATATATAGAAATATGAATTAAATAGCAGATCTTCAAATATTATTTCTTCCCTATATTTTTGATTTTGTCTTGCCTAGTGTTCAACTTCCATGACACATCACAGCAACACTAGTAGTACTGTGGCACAAGAGTCAAGAGAAATAAGTAGTGGAAGGTTTTGCCTGCAAGTCATTTAATATGTGTAATTCTCTTGAACTTCATTTTTTGTGTGCATTATTATGAAATTATCTGTGTCTTTTGTTAATCTTTAAGGTAATATTTCATTATTATTTTGGTTCTATTAATATAGTATAAAGAAGAAATATTCAATTTTCTTTAATGAAAAAAATTAAAAATCAATTTTCAAGCCATCTCATTTAGAAAAGTAATTTTAAAAGAAATGAGGCTATAATTGTGAACTGTGTAAAAATCAATTAATGTTTTAGAGCACACAGTAGTCAAGGGTGATTTGTTTAGCAAAGTCAACTCAGTTTTCTAATGCAGTTCTTATTTTGTTTGTCCTGACCTTACTGTCTCCATTTTCATGGAGATATCTTTCCTTTTCATTTCCATAGCACAGTAGGAAAATACACGAAGACATGTTCTTACAGAGTTTTTAATTTCTAGTTTACTGTGTTCCCTTCTCCTCTGTACTAACATCTCATTTCAACTTGTTGGTTGCCCTCCCAGTACAGCGCCTTCAGTTCAGATTCTTGAATCTGGTGCCGACTACCAGGTACCCCTCTGTGAGACTTTGTTTCCATGGGGGATGTTTTGCTTCTTTATCCCCCAAAATCTGAATCACAACATGGGGCAGTGGGGCTCTGACTATGCTGCCAGAGAACCACACAGCCAAATGTCTCAAGTGCTCTGCAAAAATCTTCAAAGTCTTCCTTTAGTAGTGATAATATAACATGAGAAAGTAAGATCACAGGTGTTTCACAAAAAAGTAAACTAAGGACATGGAGGCTAAATCACTTCCCAAGGGCCATACATATATGCAGAGCCAGAAATAACAAATATATTATGCTTTTGAAAGTCTATGAATGAGACTATCAGGTAGATTTTACTTCTCTTGCTACTCAGTAGTCTTTAATAAATCATTACTTGGCATAACTATAGTGACCTTCCTGAAATCACTGAAACTTTCCCAGTTCCCAGAAAGAGAAAACTAGTTCACCTTTTCTGTCCTTAGCAAAGGAAACAAAGCTTTTCATGCATGGGATCCCTGAGGATCTACCCCAAAAACATCTCTGTATTATCAGCCCTGTGTTCAGAACAAATCCAAAACAGCCCCATATCAGCCACTGAAAATGAACTCTACCCCAGACAAAACCAACACAATATTTTATTAACCTTGGCTGGTACTGAAATTCAGAGTAGGGCAGACACATACTTTAAAAGATTTCAGGGAAAACCTGTTGATTTTAACAAACACACCTTGGTGGGGCGTTTTTTCAGTCTGCCATTGAAATAGGAAAATGCAGATAGCCCAGCCTCCCTTTCCTATATTTCCCTGGTGCAACTGGTAAGCTCTCAGAGATACCAGCAATATTTGAAATGGTTGAGCACCATTTCTTCTGAACTGATGGAGCAGACCCCCCTTTTGCTCACCTTTGTCTTATGCAGAGTAAGGAATATCTAACAGGTAAGTGGCAACTCAAAGACCCCTCAACAGCTGCTGAGCTGTTCAATCAGTTTGGCTCTGGGAATATAGAGCCCGAGCTGGATCAGATGTACAAAGAGCAGAGTTACATGGCCATAAACTTGGTATGAGAGGAGACTGAGTAAAGCAAATCAGATGCCACAAGCACGATTGGCTTGCTGCTAATGATGTCTCTGTAACATCACAGGCTACCTCTAAGCTAAACTTTCCACTGCCTTGCCGGCTTGCAAAACTTTTAATGGAACAAGTTTTTCTGGCAAAAGAACACTGATTTTTATCTTTAATGAGCAGCCTCTCTATCATTTAGCTTCAGGAAACAGCTTCCTGGTTGTAAACTGCTTGAGACTGCTGACAGCCAGGCAACTTCAAAAGCAGCCAGGAGCGACTTTCTTGCTAACTTTGGGAAGGAATTCAAAAATGCTGAAAGGTGCAGATGATTCTGTTATGGAGTAGGAGGACTCTGCTTCCTGACATAAAGAAATGGCGAGTTGGGATATCAATGACATCAAACTTCCTCAGGTATGTGTCTGTCTCTTAGAAATTTATTTATTTCTGACCATCAGTCATCTCCACCATTGATCTTAAATGCTTTCTCAGTCATCTATGACTCAATACCTTTATTCTCTTTGTTACCTGGAGGTATGGAGTGTTTTGCTAGAAAATATTGAGAAAATATTGACATTTCCATGCATTTCTCCTTATATGTATGATTGACAGAGCTGTTGATCCATGAAAAGTAGCAATGCTGCAGAAGCATTGCTTTCACTGGTTGATTAGGTGCAGAGAAAGCAGAGGGGAAAAAAAGTGCCTCCTGCTGTGGGTGCTTAATTAGAGCTGTCCAGGACTTGCTTTTTGCCCTGGATAGTGCTTTTTGTGGGAGCACAGCACCCACAACTGCCTTGCAACAGCAGGTCCTCAGTCTTGCTGCAGGTTGGGCTCCAGCTCCAGAGCTCTCTTCCCACATGGAGGCAAGTCTTCACGAGCACCTAGGGAAACCTTGCTTCATGTTTGCCAAGGTTTGCTGAGAGACACAATAGCCATCTTTGCCTCCCTCTGTCCTTTTCTAGTTCTCTTAGCTGAAAGTTTCAACCTGAAAGTCCACACACCCTGCACACCAATGTCACCTCCCTGTCCCTCAGCTCTGCATATTTCTGCCAGATTCGTCATGCTGCAGTCCTTCACCATCCAGCTCTGCCTTTCACCTCCCAGCCCTGCCCTCTTACTGGATCCCAGCCTCCTCCCTACTATGACAGTGCTGTTTGCCCGAAGCCTCCATGTTCCAGGATGTCCCCTTCCCTGCCCTTCAACCCAAGGTCACCTTCACCTGCATTTCAGTCTGGAGGCTTCACTGACACTATCCAATGGCAAGAAATCCAGGGGAGCATGGGAGTCTTTCTCTTCTTGGTTGATGTTCTTACTGCTGTCATGGCTCTCAGTCCTGGGATTAGCAATTTAAAGGAAATTTCTACTTAGCTTTTGTATCCCTTACAAGAACTTTTCCCTCAAAATCATCATCAGGTATGGTAGATGCTTTACAGCTTACTGCCTTTTACTGTATTGGCTGTACCCACTGCTATACACTGATGTGATATGTATTTGTGTCTTTGGGGTTTTTTCCCAGTTTTATTTTTATTCCTTACTCTTTTGTCCTTGAGGCTTGGTGTTTGTTCAGGGGTGGGTTTTTTTGGTACTTCTTATTCTTTTAGGTTGGTTGGTTGGGTGAATGAGAACAAGCTCCTGGCCAGGCCTTCCTGATGCTCTGGGCCCTGTGGGGAGCCACAGAGAACTGTGTTTTTTCCTGCCTTATCTGCACTGCTCCCTCCTGACAACCAGCATCACCTGCCAGGTTGTTAGAGACACCTAGGCTAAAGAAAACTCAGCAGAGATCCAGCTCTGCTCAGCTCCTGAACATGTTCTTCTCTTCCCCAGCCTAAAATGTGGCTTGATTTGCTCTTTCCACAGCATGTGAGCCACACAGACTGGTTTCAAGAATGGCCAGATTCCTATGTAAAACATATCTATAGCTCAGAGGATAAAAATGCTCAGAGGCACTACAGCAGCTGGGCAATGAGAAACACCAACAACCACAACTCTCGCATCTTAAAAAAGTCCTGCCTTGGGGTGGTGGTTTGTGGCAATGACTGCTCTACCTTGGATGGGAGGAAGATCTACCTAAGACCAGCCATATGTGATAAAGCCAGGCAAAAACAACAGCGTGAGTACAAACATGGCAGTTCATTGTATGGCAGTTCATAAGTGGACACAAGATAGCAGAAATGAAAGTATAGGATACCCTTTGGATTCCTCAGCCTTCCTTCTGCCATTCCTTATATTCCAATGCAACTCTTGATTTGGAACAATGCATTTTACGCTTCAGTTGTTGGGGTGTAGTCATCTGCTTGTTTATTTTCTGGGTTTTTTCCTAATAATTTTTTAATCTCTATTTCTGATGGTTAGGGATTGGTTCCCAGCCTTCTCAAGCCCATGAGTGAGGGTACTGAGAAAGCTGTGCAGTGCAGTCAGCTCCCTGCCCTGCTGTTCCTGCCCACCTGAGTGTTGGCTTCACTATTGCACTAGCCCAAAGGTAACTCAGGAGACAAGTCTTGCAGGAAAGAAGTTGCTCATAAACAGTGATGAGTGGAAAATAGGCCCCACAGTCATATCACTGGAGCAAGACAATGCAAATAGAGAACATGAGCTGCACACACATTTTTAACAAGACCATTCTGAACAATTGTGATTGCTCAGTAGAGCTAGCACATACTGATTTCTGGATCTGACGTACATTTTAGCTAAAGAAAGGTAATACTCAGGTGCTCACTGAGGCCAGAACAATGTTCTCTAAAAACACATATTCCAAACACTGACAAGAGAAAAACTAAAACTGACCATGATAATAAATTATAAAATAATCATTTAAATGTAATAACATTGTAATAGAAATATTTTCTGAAAGTTATATTTAATAAAGGACAGAATAAAGGCAATGATTAGTTAATTTATATTGATTCTTGCTTATGTTTGGAAGTTTTTTTCATAGTTTCTCTCAGTGTAATTTCTGAGCACCAAATCAGAAGTGGCAATCTGCCACCAATGAACCATTGTATCACATGGGATTCATCTAACTGCTGTTGTATAGAAAATGTTTCCCTCTATCCTTGTTCCAGGGAAATGCTGCCCAAACTGCAATGGACCTCTGCGACTCCTTTCCTGCCGAGGCCATGGTGGTTACCCAGTTACCAACTTTTGGAGGCATGAAGGCCAATTCATATTTTTCCAGGTTGGTGTAAAACTACATAACATTATTCAAGTTAATTTCAAAGACTGGTATTTTAAGTCTTATTTAGCAATTTTTTTTTGCTGTTCCAGCAAATAGAGATTATTGAATGTGACAAGGTCAAATGACTGTAAGGAGAAAAAGAAATCACAAGATCCTAAGTAACTTGATCTAACTATGAAGTTAGTCCTGCCTGAGAAGGAGGCTGAGCTAGAGGGCCGTTCCAGCCTAAATTAGCCTATGCTACTATGATTTTACAGCACAGTGTATTTTTTATTTAGGCTTCTGTGCAAACTTGTTGATTTTGAAGTGTTTTGCCTCAGGTACACAGGAACCAACAAATCCTCAGAAGTCAGAAATACCATGTTATCTCTTCTCCTTCTCCAAGGCACTACACATAATCATGAGGCGACCTTGGAACAGGAAATCGTTGTACCCAAGGGACTGTCTATGGAAAATGCCATCTGGTTATTATATGTAACTTATATCTGGAACACAGTGTATGCAAGCGTAGAAATAATGGGCACTATTTCTGGAAGCTGTAGTCCTAGTTTAGTAACATAACCACTTTTCTGCTTTCCAGTCTTTCACTCATGTGCAGGCTAAATAAAATTAATTCTCTGTGGAAGCTAATGGAAATTAATGTTCAAATAAACATGTCTAAACTGTGAGAAAAATTAAAGTGACTGCAGGGACACTGTAGCCAAGCTGCAGAAGACCTCTTGGCTTCAGGTGGAGCTCTACTGGGGGGACTGTCTTCTACAAATAAAGGTGGTGCACTGATTTTATGATTTCAGAGGGTTTCAACCCCATCCCACTTCATCTGGGATATGTTTATTATTTGAGCTCACAGTAACTAAATCCTATTAAATACAAAGCATTAAATTAGGCCATAATGTGTGATTTTGGCCTGTGATATAAATTCTACTCCCTTAAGGTTATTAACAAGGTTGCTTCTACCTTTAATATACCATAATTACCTTCTAAAGTCCAAAGGAGCTCATGACCACCCACGTCCAGAAACAAAACTAGAAGCAGAAGCAAGAAGATCAATGCAAAAAGCAAAGACAGCTTTTTCTCCATCTTCTCTAAGACTAAAAAGAATCCAGGAGATTGAGGTAACTCTTGCTATTGGTCAATGACATTTTGGTCAAAAAGTCTGTGGTTCAAGGCAGGATGGAGGCTATCTGGGCTTTGGGTCTGGGTGGGAGCAGGCTTTACATCTCAACATTCTCTATGCCCATGATCAGGTCAAGAAGGACCAGGGCTGTCCTGAGCATCCTGCTTTCCTTAGCTCTGTCATCCACTGCCAGCACCCCCTTTCCAGAGCAAATTTGTGCCTGGTGGCAGCAGGAGATTGCATCTACACTGGTAAGCAAAGCAGGGTGCAGAGCAGGCTAAGTTCCATCACCATTCATGTGGAACTTCCTGTGAATGAGTTTCTGCCCATTGCCTCTTGTCCTATTTATTGGCACTACCAAGAAAAGCAAAGGCAACCTCCACCTCTACTTGTTCCCCTTGAGTTTCAGCAAGGTTAAGAAGGGGAAAGTGCATAACCTGTACCTAGTTTGAAGGCAGAACAATGCTTTGAAGGACTTTCTGAAGCATTGATGTTAAAACATCAGCTCTGATAGGTGTGGAAACTTGTGAAAGCATCTCCAGAGATCCATGAGACTGCGGTATGCCTGATGGAGGGAATCCCAGTGGATTCACCTTCCTTGCAAAGGCTGTGTTACACTCACTTGTCATCATCAGTATTCACATGCGGTTTGTCTTTTGATATGTTAGGGGTGGAGCATTCCCCCCGCCTGGTGTTAGGGATAGTAATCCATGCCCTTCCAGCCACAGACAGAAGGGATGATTGCTCTGGGTGGGGACAGATTTCTTAAGTGGAGCACATAGAGAAGCAAGGAGATCTGGGAACCCAAGAAGCAGATAAAGTCTGCACACAGGAAGTTAAACCCATTTGAATAGAATGTGAATTTAGAAGCTGAAGTTATTTCTACTGGATATACTCAGGAGGACACTAAAAACCAGAACCTCTTGACACAAGTGCCTGGGAACAAAAGCATAAGAAAAAACAGCTGATCTGTCTAATTGTCTAACAAATACAGTAACAATCCTTTTCCTATCACTGGTTTAGTTCTGTCTCCATGAACACAGACGTAGTTTCCACCTAGGAACTATTACTGAGTCACGTGGCTTTCTTTCTTTTATAACTGAGCCTACTGGTCAGGCTACTTGCTTAGGTCAAGTAAACATGCCTTCATCTTTCCCTTCCTAAAACATCTTCCTGAAGCTTTCACTTTCAATTGTGTGGGAGTAGAATGCCACAAATGTCTAATAGTAGAGCCTGCTATTCAGCTGTTCTGACTCTGTACAGGCAGACCATTTATCCTTTCCAGTTCATGGCTGTCCAGCAGGTTTTCCTTGGGAATAACCCATCGTATTAGTGTTTTGCCAAGCTGGCTATGGTACAACTAACTCAGGAGTCTGATTTGTCACACAGAACCTGTGTCACTCAATCTGCAAAAATATATTCCAAAAAGTTTCAGTTATAATGTGTTCAATCTGCAAAATGTATTCTGAAAAGATTCAGTTTTAATGTGCTCAAAATAGATCAGGGAGGAGAACTTTAGGAAAAGGTATGAGCCCAAAACAGAGCAAGTGATATATTAGGATGGTCTCTCTATGGCATCTATGGTGGATCTGTAGCTGAAGGTGGGCTGGGTCCTACACCAGATTGCTGGAATTTTTTCTTATGGTGACTGGAGAACAACTGAAAGGAGCTTTGCTGCACCAGCAGTCTGCAAAACCACTATAATTAAATGGATAAAAAAGTGGAATTATAAAGAAGAGAGACCTGCAAACACTCCTCAGAAATGAGTTTTCTGTAAGGAATTAAAGGTTGCATAATTATAATCCAATAATTGGGGCAATTAAAGAAATTGTGAAATATCCAGAACAGAAGACACAGAAGAATAATTCTTGTGTGCCAATCCCTACCTGAATGAAATTTCTGTTTGTGGGGTAAAAAAATGTAAAAATAGGAAAATTTATTACTTAGAAATAGACTCTAGAAAAGCTGAAAAAGAATATTTCTGTAGCTAAAAGGTCATTTCAAAACAATCAGTACTAAAAAATCGTACTTAGCTTTTCCAATATCCATAGAAAAAAAAATCTGTGGTGTCAAATGTATTACCATAAGTTCATTTTTAAGTCCTTCTTCAGCATATGCTGGCAGTGGACCCTAAGGGCTGTGAATGCAGAGTCTAAACAACTCTTTCACTGTAAAACAGGCTTTGGGCAAAAACTACTGAAACAAATCCAGAGCCAAGAGATGGGAGCCTTGTTTAGTTTGCCTCTACAGCCCTTGGGCATCCCCATGGTGGGGGAGGCTCTGCTATGCCATCTGCTTTGTTACCAGTGTTCACAGAACCACAGAATGGTCAAGGTTGGAAGAGATATCTAAGATCATCAAATCCAACAATCGTGTTAGTTGAGTGCCTTTGTAAGCAGCTCACAGAGGAGAGGTGCTACACCACACCTTGTTTTATTAACCCATGCCTTGCTTTCCCAAGTCTCTGACAGGTGCAGTGCCAACACAGGAGCCTTTGCTTCTTTCCAAGCCGGATGCTCGCATGCCACCTGCCAGTTTCAGGGGACATTTGAGAAAAAGCTCCCAGGAGCCAATGCTGAGCAGCTGCTCTGGGCAGCTTTCATACCCAAGGACATCTGGGGAGGATGGGGCCTCCAGAGAGGCGCCAACCTGGAGCCGAAGCCTGTCCCTCAGGAGGACCCCCGGAGCCGAGAGGCTGTGCAGTGTCCCTGCTGTGCCCAGCCCAGCCCCTCCTCCCCAGCAGTGCACCCACCTCAGCACCCAGCATGTCCTGCCCCTCACAAAGGGTGCCCATGACCCCTTCAGGTCCAACGTGGGCCCTTCGGGAGGTGGATCCTGTGGGGAGAAATCCCCACTGACCTACAGTGGCAGCTGCCTCTCTCTGCCTCCTTACCCCGCGCCTCAGAGAGGGCCGTGCCCCGTGGCGAGTGGGGCACAGCCTCACCGACAGCTCCCGCTGCCTCCAAGGGGAAGCGAAGGAGACAGAGGTGGCGGAGGGCACCAAGTCTGTCTCAACTACTGCAACAACGACATGTTTTTTAACATGTACCCATTATGGTGACTGGGTCCAAACATCCCTGCTCTCTCCTCCTCTGGATATTGGTCCAATTCTCCACCCCTGTGGCAGCACAGACGTGAAAATGCTACCACAACTGGTCTCACTCTAGCTCCTCTTGCAGGCCCCAGAAGGGGCTTTCATACCTGAAGGCTTGTCTTTGCTCCTTTCTATTTAACAATCTTATTTCCCCTCACTGTTTCATGGACCTAATAAAAGCTATCAGCTCCTCTTACAGACTGCCTTGCTGCCATTGTGGTCTGGTAGCATTTCAACCCTCCTTGACACACAGCTTGTTCAAGCCTGTGGGACTGGGGAAGGTGTCCATGGATGATCTCAAGGATCACAACTGTCATGAGCAACCTTCTGTACTCTTCCAGCCTCTTCAGGCAGTCCCTCTTCAGACCTAAGTCCCTGCACTGCACCAGCCTTGCACCTGTGTTGTATAGAGCTGGATGTAGGACTTCACATGAGATCTCATGAGAATGGAGTAGATGGGGAGAATTCTCCTCCTCCTCCACCTGTGGCCTCATTTCTTTTGATGCAGTCCAGGACATATTTGGCCTTCTGAGCTGCATATGCACACTGCCAGATCATGTCCAGTACACCAACTGTCCTAAGTTCTTGTCTGCAGGGCTGGACCAAATTTCATATATGTATATATTCAAGGTGCCTTACTGCTTTTTCCAGGCACATTTCATTTCTTTCATTGCAGACTGTAAAGAACCCTTCAGCATTTGTTCCATACATCACCCCCATTGCTGACCAGTACCATAAGCTGTATTTCAGCAGGACCTGTCAGCTCTCTACATTTCTTTAAAATACTAGGGTGCCAAATGAGAATTTTCTTGCCTGAACTTAACTGGCTCAGATACCTTTGGCAAAGATTCCTTTACCTTTTCCAATAACTGACTTTGCATGGCTTTGCTCCACGACTGGCCTCTGCTGCTCCCCGGACCGGGCTTCAGGGGCCACCAACCTGGAAGGCACTGACGCACACCCCTGCTGCCACCTCTACCAGGAAGAGCTGAGGGATGTCATGTACAGTGATGTATGGAGCCACATTTCAATATTGGTTCCTTTATCTACCAAAGGGAGAATGCACCTTTCATTGGGATGAGTCTGGGAGGGCAGTATTACAAAACAAGTGGCAATAAAAACCACAGTAACTCAGTATCATGTATTCATCAAATAGATTCAGTCCTAGTTGTTTTGTTTTTGTTTTGTTTTGTTTTTTCCTTAATTTTTATCTTTTTTGGATTCTCTCTCTCTCTTTTTTTTTTTTTTTTTTACTTTGGAATATATTGGTTGTAGTTCAGAGACATTTACAAGACAAGAATGAATTGTATTTATAGAGTGTTTCAAAATGTTTATTGGAATTTGTGAAACGGGATGCACAGGGATTTGTTTTAAGTGGAAAAAAATCTAAATGTAGATCACAAAATAACAGTGTACTATTGTACATGAAGGTCAACTCACCAAACTTGTTTTTTAGTCAGTGAGTTACTCCCACACTAATTCCAAACTTGGCATGTTTTATGATTTTTCAGATCATTAACTCGAAAAAGGAAACTTTGATCAACATTTGTAACAAGCTCTAAGGAAAAAAAAGAGAAATTAATAGGAGCCATGAACACTTGTGCTTCAGGAGATGAGCTGCAGGATTGAGGACAGGCAAGGCCCCTGGGGCTGGTGTCCCATAGCTGGGATTCCTAAAACCGGCCATACAGGTGAGGGACCGATCAGGGCATGGGCCCTGCCACAGGCATCTGGCTCTATCTCATCTTGTATTTCCTTGGGATTCCTTGCCTCTCCACTGCAATGCTGCCAGCATCACCTCTCAGCAGTAGTGCCATTCAGATGCACGGCTGGGAGGCTCCTTGGTAATTGCTTCCACATCAAAGTTCTAACAGTTCCCCTTACACTCACCAACCACTTCCTCTATTTTTAGAAACTTCCAGCAAAGG